TATTCTGTAGAATCTGGACAGTTTGCTCCTTGGAACTTTTTGAACGCAGCAAACTTTCCTTAACAATTTGTGATGATTTTGTAGCTCTTGAAAAGTTCTATCTGCACAGAAAAAATGGCAATGTTATCAGGAGGGATACTTAAGATTGTAAGGACCATTCTATGGCAACAACGAGTTGTTCTGTAGAATCTGAACAGTGTGGTCCTAGGGAATTTTTGAACACAGCATATTTCCTTTAAGAATTCGTGATCGATTTGTAGCTCTTGAGAAGTTCGATCTCCCCTGAAGATATGAGTAACATTTGATAAACTAACGCGGTTAGCCTATGAGGGGATTCCGATACTGATAATGGCTCTATTCTCGGTAGAAATGTCGAGAAGAGGTCTCGAAACGTGTCCTGAAAAAGGTCTAGATGGTTTATTCTTACTTAGAGGAAGATGAAATTCAATTCTATAAAGTGTTCTGATATGATTTTTATTTAGGGCGATTTTACGTGCGAACCCGCCCCTTCCTTACAAGACATTCTACACTCTGGGATAGCAGTATTTTGAACTTTTCTTGAATGGTGCAAGCGGTACCAAACTTCTTTTTTTACCAGACATAGATATTTTTAAGATACATCTTTTGACATTAAATCGTTAAGACAAAAAAACTGGGGGCCCAAATTAGCATGGACCACACTGTATCCTACCTTACCTAGTCACCATTGATCCTACCCCACAAAGTCATACAATTTCTGCAGCAATCACAAAAATAGACTTCAGATTCGTGTTCAGCTTGAAAAACTGACTTAGATAGGATATTTTAAATTGATTCCTTACTTGTACCAAGTGTGTTCAAGATCATGGGTCCATCCCATGGATATATGATAGATATATGCGACAGTGTGTTGATAATAATTCACCAATATTCATAGCTATCTGGTTAGGGTTTTTTGCCATTCGATAGCTCTTTGCGAAAGCTACAAAATTATATATTTTCCAAATTCAAAACGCTTGATTACCAGAGCCATATTGAGACACTTCGGTCTTGAAACAGGATTTTCTGCATTTTCCCCCCCGGTTTAGCCCATTTTCCGTTACAAAACAACAAATCAAATCAAAACCAATGTCAGGTTCGGAATTAGCGTTAAAAACTGAGTCGATCCATGTATGTTTTAAAGATTGCTGAGTAAGTTTTCTTTCCTATGAAAAAATGACCCTGCACTCCCCCTCAGGGTTCATTAAAAAATGACTTCTCTTAAAATGGCGGTTTTGTTATCTAGCCTTTTGTGATTTTACTTTTTTTGAAATAAAAGATGCTCGGCAATTTCATTCCACACGATAAAGGGCACTTTTGAGAGAAGTCATTTTTTAATGAACCCTGAGGGGGAGTGCAGGGTCATTTTTTCATNTACTTGTAAGCATTTTAGATAATAAGCGCTTCATAACACTTAAACTGGGGAAATTCCTCAGCACTTTTAAGTAGTTTACACAATAAGTGCTTCACAGTACCTGAATATGGAAACGTTTTTAGCACTTTTAAGCGATTTTGAGCAAAAGCGATGATAAGTGCTTTAAAAATCTATTTCTAAGCAAAATTAAGCGCTTCACTCAAGAAAGCGCCTTAAAACGGCTTAATCTGTGCGAGTTTAAGCGGTTTTAAGTTGCTTATATCATCATAAGCTAATATAAGTCACTTAAAAATAGCTTACAATGGAAGAAATTTTCACATGGGTCATCGAAAACATCATCGGATGATGATTTCGTTGTGATCTAAAATATTTTTGTGAAGTTCCAAACTTTTGGAAAGTTTCTCGAAAAAGTGAGCAAAAATGAGCATGTGATGCTCACTTCTGTAGACTCAATGATAAAAGAGCGTGACTCATCGAAAATATCATCGCACGATGATTTCGATGTGATCTAAAATACTTTTGTAAAGTTCCAAACTCTTGGAAATTTTCTTGAAGAAGTGAGCAAAAATGAGCATGTTATGCTCACTTCTGTAGACTCAATGATAAAAGTGCGTGACTCATCGAAAACATCATTGGATGATGATTTCGATGTGATCTAAAATATTTTTCCAACGTTCAAAAACTTTTGAAAAGTTTCTTGAAGAAGTGAGCAAAAATGAGCATGTTATGCTCACTTCTGTAGACTTAATGATAAAAGAGCGTGACTCATTGAAAATATCATTGGGTGATGATTTCGATGTGATCTGAAATATTTTTGGAAAGTTCCAAACTTTTGAAAAGTTACTAGAGGTAGTGAACAAAAATGAGCATATCATGCTCACTTTTGTAGACTTAATGATAAAAGAGCGTGGCTCATTGAAAATATCATCGGGTGATGATTTCAATGAGATCTAAAATATTTTTGGAAACTTCCAAAACTTTTGAAAAGTTGCTAGAAAAAGTGAGCAAAAATGGGCATCTTGTGCTCACTTTTGTAGACTTAATGATAAAAGAGCGTGACTCATTGAAAATATCATCGGGTGATCATTTGGATGTGATCTAAAATATTTTTACAATGTTCCAAACTTTTGAAAAGTTGCTAGAAAAAGTGAGCAAAGATGAGCATCTTGTGCTCACTTTTGAAGAATTACTGATAAAAGAGCATGACTCATTGAAAATATCATCGGGTGATGATTTCGATGTGATCTAAAATATTTTTGGAAAGTTCCAAACTTTTGAAAAGTTTCTAGATGTAGTGAGCAAAAATGAGCATAACGTGCCCACTTTTGTAGACTTAATGATAAAAGAGCGTCACTCATTGAAAATATCATGGAGTGATGATTTCGATGTGATCGAAAATATTTTTGCAAAGTTCCAAAACTTTTGAAAAGTTGCTAGAAAAAGTGAGCAAAAATGAGCATATCATGCTCACTTTTGTAGACTCAATGATAAAAGAGCGTGACTTGTTGAAAATATCATCGAATGATGATTTCGATGTGATGTAAAATGTTTTTGGAAAGTTCTGAAACTTTAAAAGTGTCGAGAGTAAGTTAGGGGAAAGGGGCGATTGATGTTCACTTTTGAACTCTAAGATTTGTACCGATGATGTGCGTCCAGTGGTCGACTTCACAAGTGTTTTAATGGTTGTTTTGTGGGGTCCTGCCGAATTTCCATGGATCCCGTTGGAAATTTGGATATCCGATGGGTGCTGATGAGCGGATACCTGTCGTTTAGTTTTCCCCTGATTCCCGGAGCGGAAAGAAGAGGAAAAATCAGGATCCGGTAGGATTAATTTGGGATGATGACTTATGTAAATCCGGTGTTACCCGGTTGTCGGATTAAAGAGGAATTCGGCAGAAATACTTCCGGCCTCATCTGGTTGGATTTCCAGCCGCAGGAATCCGATGAGATCCGAGTTTTTCCGATGTAGTATCTTGCAATATTCTCGCTTCTACGTAAGTAAGTTCTCTGCGGATGCGATCAGATTCTGTTACCGGATTTCCAAAAATCCGACGGGATCTTTTCCGACGTAATCCGCATCGGAATCCTGCGCATGAGAATCCGACTCAAAATGGGTCGGATCCCGTCGGATATTAATGGAACACGTCGGAGTCCGGTTGTATCCGCCCAGGATCCGATGGTTTTCGGTAAGATCCGCCGGTCGGATTGAATCTCTTGGGTTAATTTTTGTTTATTTTATTTTTTATCAATTATCATGTAGAGCTCTGATGAGCATTTCAATATTTTCATAAATAACACGAAACGCGTCGGCGAAATGAACTCTGCAGTATTTCATTATTTTAATTGAAGCTCATTTATTTAGTATACATCTATTGTTTGACTTGATGGGTTGCTGAAAAACAAGAGTTGAGAATAGCAGATTGTTTTGGATGATAAGCACATAAGTCAATCTGTTTTTCCTTGTTCCATAAAAATAAAGCATTAATGGAATCTTGTCCAATATTAAATTTTTTGATTTTGGTTCATAATTATTTTATTTTAAATTTTGCAAACGAAGCACGAAACCTGCATTACATTATGAATTATATATTGAAGAGAAAATTATTTTATAAAAAATTACAAAAAAAGTATCATATTCAAAAATCGACAATTTACATCAGTGGATACAAATTCTAATCAACGGCAAGACAAATCATACACGAGTTGCTACTTACCAATGACTGTCCACAAGATGCTATACATAATTATTATTATTGTTTTCTTTTTATTATCCCTCTTGTAATTAATCGCAATGTATGCTTTTTCTGATAATCCTGATAATCCTAAAATTTGAAATAAGTTTCCACTTATAGAATAACTTATTATTTAACGAAAAGCTTTTCAAATTTCCCAATCATTTTACTTACTTTTCTTTTCATTTTATTTTATTTCATTTAATGTTGTTTTATAGTACACTGTCTTATTTTGCTTTCTGTACTTCATATTATAATGCAGTACCCTGAAGAGTCTTTCAATATTTCCATAGATAAACATGAAACGCATCGGCGTAAATTAAAACTGCATTACTATTGTATTCTATTAAATTATTCAAACACACTATCAAATATAAATTTTAACTTGACTTAATCGGTTGCTGAAAAGCAAAAGTTGAAATTAACAGATAGTTTTATATCATTTAAATATACAGATCGATCTGTTTTCAGTTGATTTATTTACCTAACTCATGACAAGACAGAATGCACATCAGATTCCAGGAGAATCTCTTTTAAATATGATTGGATGTTTTTCATCATAACTTTCAAATAATAGTATCATATGACTATTATCAGCATGAAAGTTTTCTCATAAACTTTTGACTATAGTAATTCATAGTAGGAGAGTTATACAATTCTTTAACATCATTCAATCATAAGCAAATAATAAGTTTAATTTTAGCACTTCTCGAAACGTGTCTTGCTAGCTATTGATTGATTTTTATCATCATACTTAACAAAAGACACATCTTTTGCACTTAAAATCATTTGAATATTAAAACTATGGTTCTACTAGATATGAGAGCAAACAAAATAAGTGAATGATAGAAAAATATAAAGTACGAAATAAAAAACTAACAAGTCTGCAACAGAATATTTAAACTGTCAGTTCCATTATTGGCGACGGCAATATCTAGTTTTCTGTCATTGTTGAAATCTCCAACGACAATAGAGAATGGATTGGATCCATATTCCAACGGAAATAAGATGATACTTGCAAATGTGCCATTTCCATGTCCCAGAAAAACACCTAGATAATTGGTATCATAAATCGCGATGATAATGTCTTGTATAGCGTCGTTGTTAATGTCGTTTACAGCTAAAAAGAATCGAGACGAACTGGAGCTTGTTGAATACATCATTTGATTTCCAAAAGAGCCATTCCCATATCCAAGAACAATACCAACACTGTCCAACTCGCAATTGGCAAAGACGATATCCACTCGAGTATCATTGTTGAAATCACCGGCAGCCATAGAGCATGGATTTAAATATGGGTAAGTTGAATATGTCATTTGATTTCCAAAAGAGATATCTCCATATCCAAGAAAAATACCAATATTATGATTTAATGAATTAACGACGCCGATATCCATCAGACCATCGTTATTAAAATCGGTAATTACTAAAGACTGTGGTCGAGAATCATTTCCAGTTATGAGCATCATTTGCTTTACAAATACTATATAGTCACAGCCAAGAACGACACTCAAAACATTGTTAAAGGAGCTGGTGACAACAATATCCAGTCGAGTGTCGTTATTGAAATTACCGACAGCTACAAAATTTGGATGAGAGCTAACTGAATATCTTGTTTCCTTTGCAAAAGAACCGTTCTCATATCCAAGAAGAACACTCATATCATTGCTACCAAAATTGACGACAACGATATCTAATCGAGTGTCATTATTGAAATCACCAACAGCTACAGATAATGGATTAGAGCCAACTGAATATCTTGTTTCTATTGCAAAAGAACCATTCCCATATCCAAGAAGAACACTCACCTCGCTGCTTATCCAACTGACAACAACGATGTCTAATCGATGGTCGTTATTGAAATCACCGACAGTTACGGATAGTGGATTAGAGACAACTGTATATCTTGTTTCTTTTGCAAAAGAACCATTCCCATATCCAAGAAGAACACTCACATCATTGCCACCCGAATTGGCGATAGCAATATCTAGTCGATGGTCGGTGTTGAAATCACCAACAGCTACAGATGATGGCCAAGAGCCAACTGAATATTTTGTTTGTTTTGCAAAAGAACCGTTCCCATATCCAAGAAGAACACTCACATTATTGTTAAAGGAATTGGTGACAACAATATCTAGTCGAGTGTCGTTATTGAAATCACCAACAGCTACAGAACTTGGAAGAGAGCCAACTGAATATTTTGTTTGTTTTGCAAAAAAACCGTTCCCATATCCAAGAAGAACACTCACATTATTGCTACCCGAATTGGCGACAACAATATCTAGTCGAGTGTCGCTATTGAAATCACCAACAGCTACAGATACTGGATTAGAGCCAACTGGATATCTTGTTTCTGTTGCAAAAAAGCCGTCCTCATGTCCAAGAAAGACACTCACATCATTGGTACCCGAATTGGCGACAACGATATCTAGTCGAGTGTCGTTATTGATATCATCAATAGCTACATATATTGGATTAGATCCAACCGAATAACTTGTTTCTTTGGCAAAAGAACCATGATTGTATGCGACAATGATATCTACATTATCCATTCCGTCATAAATGATAGCAATTTCTGATCGGTTGTCATTATTAAAATCACCAGATGCCACAGCTAACGGACGTGAATCAGAACTAATTCCATTAGTTGTCTGACTCGCAAATGTTCTATTTCCATTTCCAAGAATTAGACCTACTTCCTTTGTAGCATAATCAACTACAGCGATGTCTAGTACACTGTCACCATTGAAATCGTCAATAGCAATCGAAGTCGGATGAGAATTTGAGCCAGTACTAAGCATCATTTGGTTTTCCAAACTTCCATTCCCATATCCAAAAAGAACATCTACATTATTAGTGCCGTAATTAGCCACGACGATATCCAGATTAGTGTCGTTGTTCAAATCACCAATAACTACGTGTTGTAGGTTAGAGCCACCACCAGATGCATAGGTCGCTTCATATCTTATTCCTCCTCTGTTATATTGCAGCAGGACACTCACATCATTGCTAAGAATATTGGCGACAACGATATCTACTCGAGTGTCGTTATTGAAATCACCAACAGCTACGGACTCTGGACTGGAGCCAACTGAGTATCTTACTTCTTTTGCAAAAGAACCGTTCTCATATCCAAGAAGGACACTCACATTATTGCTAAAGGAATTGGTGATAACAATATCTAGTCGAGTGTCGTTATTGAAATCGCCAATAGCTACAGAATATGGAGAGAAGCCAACTGCATATTTTGTTTCTTTTGCAAAAGAACCATTCCCATATCCAAGAAGAACACTCACATCATTGCTACCATAATTGACGACAACGATATCTAATCGAGCGTCATTATTGAAATCATCAACAGCTACAGATTTTGGATTAGAGCCAACTGAATATCTTGTTTCTTTTGCAAAAGAACCGTTCCCATATCCAAGAAGAACACTCACATCATCGGTAATATAATTGACGACAACGATATCTAGTTGAACGTCGTTGTTGAAATCGCCAACAGCTACAGAATGTGGTAAGAAGCCAACTGCATATTTTGTTTCTTTTGCAAAAGAACCGTTCCGATATCCAAGAAGAACACTCACATCATTGCTACCTGAATTGGCGACAACGATATCTAGTTGAACGTCGTTGTTGAAATCACCAACAGCTACGGACTCTGGACTGAAGCCAACTGAGTATCTTGCTTCTTTTGCAAAAGAGCCGTTCCGATATCCAAGAAGAACACTCACATCATTGCTACCTGAATTGGCGACAACGATATCTAGTCGAGTGTCGTTATTGAAATCATCAATAGCTACAGATATTGGATGAGAGCCAACTGAATATTTTGTTTGTTTTGCAAAAGAACCGTTCCTATATCCAAGAAGAACACTCACATCATCGGTACCATAATTGGCGACAACGATATCTAGTTGAGTGTCGTTGTTGAAATCACTAACAGCTATAGATTGTGGATTAGAGCCAGCTGAATACCTTGTTTGATTTTCAAAACCCTCAAAATAACCAAGGAGAATATCTATGCTACCAGTATCATTGTTGACAACGACAATGTCTAATCGATAGTCCTTATTGAGATCGCCTACCGCGAGTGAAATCGAAGAATGGGATCCAGTTGAATACATAATTGGATTTTCAAAATGGCCGTTTCCATATCCACGAAGTACACCTATATTTTCAAGGCCGTTATTAGTGACGATAATGTCTAATCGATTATCTTGATTGAAGTCTACGACGTCAATCGCATACGGAAAAGCAGACTCAGGGGAATAGGTGGCTTGATTAGCGAAAGTACCGTTACCGTTGTGCAAAAGTACACCTATTTCATAAGTTCCAGAATTGGCGATAGCTATATCGATAAATCCATCATCATTGAAGTGGCCAACAGCGACGAAGTATGGATGAGAACCAAGTCCAGTTGAAAACGTGATTTGTTTTTCAAAAGTTCTGTTGCTGTTTCCAAAAAGTATGCCAATATTATGGGTGCCATAATTGGCAACGGCAAGGTCTACATAGTTGTCGTTATTGAAATCTCCAGCAACTAATGAGGATGGAAGAGAATCATAACCTGTTGAATACGTCATTGGATGTGAAAATTTTCCATGACCATATCCATAAAAGATACTAACACTATGAGTTCCGTGATTGGCAGTGGCAATATCAAGTTGGGTATCATTGTTGAAGTCAGCAGCAATAATTGCTATTGGACGAGATGAGCCTGTTGAAAGTTGTATTTGACTTTCGAAAGAACCGTTCCCAAATCCATGAAAGATTGCGATATTGTTAGAAATCGTTCACATTTGATATCATCATTCTCTATACATTATTGAAGAACCTTTCTTAGTCTACATCGCTAATGCCTATGGGAGTGGTGCTTGATTTGCTAGATAAACCTGAATTTGATTGTAGTATGTACGTAGGAATAACTATGGTCGGATATGTATAAAGTATTGGCACTGCTAATCACGGAACTCATAGTGTTAGTATCTTTTATGGATATGGTCATGGAAAATTTTCACATCCAATGACGTATTCAACAGGTTATGATTCTCTTCCATCCTCATTAGTTGCTGGAGATTTCAATAACGACAACTATGTAGACCTTGCCGTTGCCAATTATGGCACCCATAATATTGGCATACTTTTTGGAAACAGCNTATTATGACATCAGCTGAGCAACGATGAAAGAACATAAAAACATAGATCATCGTTTGCACTATCTTTGCTTACAAAACGAAAGTTTTCTAAAGCTTTTTGTACGGTGCCAAAGTATGACTGCTACTATTTTGGATTGCCCTAAGTATAATCCTTTATAAACGGAAAAAACTTCTCGGTATCCAGACTGCTCGAGAGGAGTTCACGCTTAGGATTACAGGGGGGAGGTTTGCTATTTAATAATTTCCTTTTAATCTTTATATCATTTGATACTGCGCAAATTCCTCTACAAAACCACATATGATATCCTGATTCAAGATAGACCACCTAGTTCGGCAAGGTCCTTTTATCCTATGTCTCCCCTATTTACAGTGACCGCATAATCATAGAAATTCATCAGAACCGGACCATTGTCATGATTTTCATAAATCAACTCTACTATAATTTTTCGAATACTCGACAAGGTTCAATCACCCTTGACCTCCCTGCACCACTAGATTGAGCTACAGCGCTCGATAAACTTAGCTAGCACTCTTTGGAAATATCATCGTTTCGAACATTTTGAACTGATATTTGGAGTCAGTGTTAGTCTTACCAAGAAAGTACCCCAAGTGATTAATCATTTTTGAATTCGAACTCTTTTCATAAATTAGACCCCAGTGCGGTATGAAAAACACCAAAAGGAAAGGGTCCATATGCCTTCTCTCCAGACTTATAGCTATTTTACTGAAATTTTAGCCTAAATTGCGGTACACGCTAACAAATCGAATGACAATGTTTGAACCTGAAATTTTGCCTGCAGATAAGTCTACTTGTAACTAAAATGCTTTGAAATTTTCAGGGCATTCTAGTTACAAGCAGACCTATCTATGGGCAAGATGTCGGGTCAAAATACTGTCATTCAATTTGTTAGTATATACCGTGCTATTGGCTGAAACTCTAGTAAAATGGCTATAACTCTGGAGACAAGGTCTATGAGCCCTTATCCTTTTGGGGTTTACATCCTCACTAGAGTCTACCTTATGCACAGAGTTCGAACTCAAAAACCATTAATCACTTGGGGTACTTCCCTCGTTAGTGCACTCTGATCGAAAGCATCATCCCACCTTCAATTCTACTATATTCGCTACAATTACCACTTCAATACTATCAACATCATGTGAGTGTCATGTCTCGATAGTTTTTGGCATCTATAACCGCGCAGTCTCTTATTCAGAAGCCAAGTGATACAGTCATCTTTAGTAAGAATTTGTTGAGAAATCAATTCGAAATAACGAAGACTTGACTGATATATTCAACATTTCCATCAATTACTGGTAGTCTCTGATTTTAAGTCTGGTGTCAATAACTCTAGCTAGTGTCGACCAATTCGTCTGAAATTGTTAGTAACATGCTTCCATGATCCTTAAGTTTTCAATGGAATATTGAAAACTGTAGCTCCGCATGGAGATGTGGCAGAGCCATCGAGAAAGTGGATTATAAAGCAGCTCGAGATTTGTGGAACTTGTGCTACCATGCAGTGAGTTTTAGATCTGAGAAACTTGGTATATATGACTACCATTGCAGATAAGAAGGCAGCGAATAAATCATTCAAACACGAAATGGGAAGCAAACATCTTCGGTGACATTTCCCTTTCACTTCTTCAATAAATGACAAAAAGTACATCAATGTACATGGATCTCTACTCTACTAGTCATTTTAAATTTATTGATGACATAATATATTCTTCTTGAGTCGATAAAGCAAAATTTATATGACACCAGCCATATGGCTTTAAAGCCAAATCCCATGTAGGGAAGAAGTAATTTTCACTTAGATATACTTTCTGTCATCTGTGGAATAAGTTAAAGTCAAATGGCATTGAAGAAGATATTTGTTTTCCGTTTCATTTTTGAATGATTTATTGGTGTCCCTTTTTATCTCTAATGGTAGTTATATATACGAAGTTTCTTGAATCCAAAACGCACTACACAGTATTATAAATATCACAATTTGTAAGCTGTTCTATGATGAAATTTCTTGATGGCTCTGTCGCATCTTTATGTGCAGCTACAGTTTTCAATATTCCATCAAAACCTTGGACACCCATGGTAGCCCATTAATAAAATTTTCAGATGAATTGATTGAAGCTAGCTAGAGTTATTGATAACAGGCTCAAGATCAAGATCTATTAGTAATTGATAGAAATGTTGCATACTGCAGTGAGATCTTCGTTATTTCGAACTGATTTCTCAACAAATTCCTCCTGATGATCACTGTATCACGGGACTTCCAAATGAGAGACTATGCGCTAATGGGTGCTAAAACATAACGAGACATGACGTTCACAAGGTGATGATAGTATTGAAGCGATAACTGTAGCAAACCTTATGGAGTTGCAGGTGAGATGATGCTTCCGATCAGACTGCACTAAACCCAGCAGTTAACACACATATGAACCCAAAATAATGCCAAACGATGGCATTTCTGAAGAGTGGTAGCTAGTTTTAAAGAAATCTGAATTTCGACAATTACAACTTCTTTTAATTACCAGCAACAGTTCACATTAACAAAGTTCCGTTTCTAAGAATGTATGACATAAGTTTAACCAGCCTGGAAAAATATTTGTCTATCGGAAGTTTTATCCTAGGTACATATCGACTGATAAGAACCACATATTGTACAGAGCAGAAAGGAAGTAGATGCTAAATTCTTGCTAAGTAGAATGAGATGAAAAATTAGGCAGCGCTTCATGTATCAAAAGTTTCATATATAGGGAAGTATACGTATTATTGGCATGCTATGGGGTATTTGATTTCAATCTGAAGTCTCCAACAAAAAAAGACATTCCATTTCAAAAAGAAATGTCGGTCTTTGGTGGTCTTTGGAATTAATCATCATTTTATTAGCTATACACCGCCTTTTTGTAGATATGGGGGCCTAGGGGAGCTGAGAGGTCTTGAGAATTGTTTCTCGCAATTGTAACAGTTGATACCCTAAAATACTGCGGCCTAACATTATGAATATCATGAATACTTCTAAAGAACCCCAAGACCTCCTAGTCCCCTCATCTCCAAAAAAGGGCGTGCATAGCTGCTAATATGGTGAATAATTCGAAAGACTCCTTAGTCACCCCATCTGTAGAAAAAGGAGACCTATAACTAATAATATGATGTATTACTCTAAAGACCCTCAAGATTCCTAGTGTCCCCAACTCAACAAAAAGCTGTTAGCGCAATCCCTTATGGAATTAAAAATGGGAAACACGATGGATCTATTGTTATTTATTAAATGGAAATCGTTTTGTTCCATTTCTTTGTGATACATTTGTAGCTAACCGTTTATCTGATGCTTTAGAACTACAGTTTCTCCGTCACAGTGTGTGATGGATATGGAGATTCTCTGTCAGGATCTGTGGAGGGGAAGGGAGACGGGAGTAGGTGCAAAATTTGTACCCTATACACTTCAACCCTCCTTTCAGATCGTGCTTCACAAGAAGGGCGTGTATAGCTACTAATATGGTAAATAATGCTAAAGACTCCGGAAGACCCCCTAGTCTCCCTATCTAGAAAAAAGGGGGTCTATAGCTATAAATATTATGAATAATTCTGAAGACTCCCCAAGAGCCCTAGTCTCCGCATCTTTAAAAAAGGGGAATCTATGGCTATTAAGATGATGAGTAATTTTGAAGACCCTGAATGTGTATCAGACATGGGTGAGTGAAATGGGGTCTGTTTATTTGTTAGTTTTTTGTCGCTGTCTCGTTTGATGTTTTGATCGATTGCTTCAGTTTGGGGTAAAGTGTGCGGCTGCTGTATAATCGTCAGGGAGAATGCTTTTTTCTAGCTCTCCTAACTCTCCCCCACTCCCCATCCCTGTGCGTGAGAAAAGTCCATGGTCTTTTTTTTTGCAGAATTCAGTTTGAAACCAAAACGCCCATAGATTCATAATGTGGTAGGCTCTCTGGAAATACCAGCTGATCCCAAGACTCCAGCTGCTGGTAGCCATTGTTTATACTGCTATGGGCAACTTCTTGTTGATGTTATCAAAGAATGATATCAGAAATATTATTGTAGATAGTATATTGGCCAGCAAATGCCTCAATTTTTTATTCTTCCATTTATCTTACAAAACTTTTCAATCGAATCAGAGAGGATCATATGTCGAGGAACAGACTTAGACTGAAACTTCTTTTTTTATTGTGGACTTACGAGGGAAGTCTCCCAACTTGAAAATCGCTTTTTGATCAAGACTATTTTCGTTAGATAGACCCTAGTGAGTAATAAGAAACCCCAAGAGGGTTCGGGCTAATACGCCTTTCCTCTTGAGTTATAGCCATTTTACTGGAATTTTAGCCTATATCACGCTATACACCAGAGATCCAACCAGGCCACTAGGCCTGCCTGCCTGCCTGGGCCTGCCTGCCTGTCACAGGCACAGGCCACGTTTTTTAGGCCAGGCCGACCCCTCAACCAGGCCAGACAGGCCGCTTAAAACACCAGGCCGCCCGGCCTGTCTGTATTCTTTATAAATATAGCTTTTTTTTTCAATATACATTTTTTTAAACAAATTGAGGGTAATGCTAGCGATCTGGAGAAGTATAGAATAATGTTCTGCTTTCATGGTGATTGAGCGAGGGGATGACTAATCTTCAGCTCAAATCGTAGACTTCCTCTTCTTTATCTATTCACTCTTCATGTTCTCATTTCTCTATATTTTTTTATTATTGATTGTTAAAATCTTTCTTATCGATTATTGTTGAGATATTTATTTTTGACTGTAAAAGTCTTTATTGTTTTTGTTAAACTTATGTGTTAGCATTTCAATTGTCTTTCTTCGTGAAATGGGTGA